CCCCAAAACCCCAAAACCCCAAAACCCCAAAACCCCTCTCTTCGGCTTCCAAATTGTCAAAATGTTATAAAATCCTCACTAAAATGTCTATTGATTCTGCTGGATGTTATAAATCAGTCGGTCTGCTAGCTTGAACTTATCTGGCTTCCACAGAGATTTACTCTGCATGTGGCTCAAATAGAGAGAATTCAAGAAATTCTCATTCTTAAATTTATGGATAGACCTGGGGTTTAAGAAATTATCTATATTTCTCACCCGAGCTAGCTCATTATCCTCCTTGATCTCTTCTAAAGTGATGTTCTTGTTAAACACATTTGCATTCAAGTGCTCTTCGTAGGTCTCAATGGCCCCTTTAAGTTTATCAATGGACGTTGAGATAGAATCCATCTTTTTCGAATAACTTTTATTTGTGAATTTATTTGTTATTTTTAGCAAGATCTGAGAGCTTTTTACAGAGTTGAAGCTGAGGATTTTGAAGATTCAGCTCTGTTTTAGATTTAGATGAACAGTGAGGTGGTTTTGGGAGAGGAATTTGAATTTTAGGCGGCAATCTAAAGGAAATAAGTATAAATAGAGGTACTTTGGGTTAATTGAAGATGTGTTTATGGAGTTGAGTTTCACTGCTCTCTCTGGACGCTTTTTCTTAGGAGTTTGGTATTTTATTTTCCTTTTTATATTTGGAAGCTTTGGAATATATTCAGAATCAATTATCTTCTTAGGACTGTGATCTTTCTCATTGTCAGGATTCTTCAGCACCTCCATTGATTTCTGTAAATGAGATATTTTAGGACTTTTATTCATGACCTCAGTAATATCTTCATTACTTTTCTTAGGTCTAGTTTTTATAAAAGAGACACTATTATTCCTCATTTTAATTACTTTAAATTCACCAGTATCTTTGGAAGGATCATTTGGTAAAATATGACTTCCATTAAAATCTTCAAAGGTGAACTGATCGCGACCTCCTTTGATCGGTGACAATAGTGAAACCTCAGATTCACCGACCTTGATCTTAGGTCCTCTGTCTTTTGTTCTGTCTTTCCTTCTCTCTATCTCAAGTAGGATCCTTCCTGGAGGTATCATAGGCTTTGCCTTGAACATGAACAAATGTTCTGGTTTATGAAGTCCTTTATGTATATGGCGCGAGTAATAATCATCCATAATATCAACGACTTTATTCTTTCGATCTAAATAAGACCGATTATTTTCAAGATTATCATCTTTGTCGAGCAAGGTTTTAAAATCGTTAAGAATGACCTTGCCAAGAGGAAGATCTCTCTTGGAATCAAAACTTTTATTCGTATTCCTTTTCTTGATCTTGCGTCGCTTCTCAAGTAGAGCTCTGATACCTTTCTCTTCCTTAGCATAAGGTTTGTATAAGCTTTCAGGGTTGTCAAGGGTCTCTGAACGATCAAGTTTCATAATCTGTTTTATTGCCTTAATATTTTCACGTTCATAAAGTGATGGATCAAAATGCTTGTGAATAACCTTGCTTATCCTTAACTTGTCCTTCAAGATCTGTGGATGCATCTCAAGTATATTGGAAGACACCCTGACTTCCTTAGGAAACTAAACCTTGAGGTTAATTTAACTGAGAATAAATGGAATAACTGGATTACATACATTAAAATTATTAAGCAAATCTATCTCTCTTTTTAAAGTCTCAGGGTCATTATTCTCTCTCAAAATCTGCATCATTGATTTTGAGGTCTTCTTTGAGCCAGAGTATATATCGTTGTAGATAGCTTCCTTCACGTTAAATTCTGGTTTTTCATCTCTATAAGAACATTTATCGAAAGTTAAAGGAATTCAGTTGCTTACGAATGCTTTAAACACTCTCTAACAAGTGTCTGCTCAGAGCTTTCCTTCTTTATCTTCTTAACTGATGCTCTAGTGCTGTGTTCCATTTGGACTGCTTTAATTAAATAATTACTTGTGGATTGGGGTTTTGGGGTTTTGGGGTTTTGGGGTTTTGGGG